GTCCTTGTGGTGCGGCTGGAACCATCTTGAACTGAATACACTCAAAACTGTATAGATGATAGAGAGAAAAAATGGAACTTTGTTATTTATATGTTGACAGCAGCCAGACTATTGCACGTGCAAACATGGAAGGACACTTCAATTCCTACCATTGAGGAATGGTTGCAGAAGTTGATGGTTGCAGAGGTTGGCTGAAATTGCAAAACTGACTACTTTGATTAAAGAAAAGAACATAAGTATTTTTGTTTCCACGTGGAAACCGCTTCTGAACTTCATAATCGATGTGGAAAAGAGTGAAACTCTGACTTTGGGTTTTACAGATTAGACCAGAGATAGGCAACCTGCAGCTCTGGAGCTGCATGTGGCTCTTTCACCCCTCTGTTCCGGTCAGCAGAGGGGGAAAAAAAGTATGCTGTGCTTGGAGGAGACACTATGATAGGGGAACCGGACTTCCGGTCAGCAAGGGAAAAAGGACGTCGCACTAGGAGAAAACTCCATGGTGGGAGAACCGGACCTCCAGTCGGCTCCGGAATTGAATGGAGGGGGACTTCCGGTTAGGGCCTTTGTGGCTCTTTGAGTGTTTAAGGTTGCCGACCCCTGGATTAGACTGATAGATCTTTATAGAAGTGGCTTGTTTATACTATTGTGGAAAAGCAAAAAGTTGTGATTTGTTGTTAACGCCTTATTTTATTGTAACAGAGCGAGTCGAAAGTCAGTGCTTCTTTTTCTTTCTTTTTTTCCTCTATCTTTCCTCACTTCTCTTCCTCCTTTCCCCTCCCTCCCTCACTGCTCTTCTATTTACTTTTGTATTTTGTATTTTATAATACTCTATAACTCAATAAAAAATGCTTACGATAAACTATAGGGATGATAGTAGATTTTTAGGAGAAGCTCTCCTTCTCCTATTCTACCACCTCTTATTATACTAGATAACACAGTATTAACAGTAGAGGCCTTTTAAGGCCGCCTCAGATTTCTGCTTGTGTCAAGTTAATTTTACGGCACAGGTAGTCCTCAACTTACAACTACGACTGAGCCCCACATTTTTATTGCTAGGCAAGACAGTTAAGGGACTTTTGACCCATCTTGCGACTCTTTTTTTGCCATCGTGGATAAGTGAATCAGTAAGAGTTCTTAAGTTAGTAACATTGACCTTGCTTGTCCAAAGGTCACGAAAAGAGATCACATGACCCCAGGACACTGCAACCGTCATAAGTACATGCCAGTTGCCCAGTGTCCGGATTTCGATCATGTGATGCTGCAGCAGCTGTAAAGTGTGAAAAATGGTCCTGCCACCTTTTTTTTTTTCAGCGCTGTTGTCACTTCGGAGAGTCAGTAAATGAATGATTGTAAGTCGAGGACTACCTGTATTTACCAAAGGGGCCAGGGGTAAAACCCAATTTCGTAGGAATCAGCTTCAGTCGGTGAACATCAGGAATTCATTCCCCTCATAGCTCCCACAGTCATTTCCCCCTCCCTAGAAAATAAGAGCATATTCATTTATTTGGGTTTCTCCCATTTTAGTGTAATGTTTTCCAGGCGCTTTCTTTCGTGGGAAATACCTATAATCCTCATAGGGAGGAAGACTTGGTGTTAGAATTCTCACATCCCCTAAATCATGGGCCCTTTTACGACTTGTGGACTTCAACTCCCAGAATTCTGGGAGTTGAAGTCCACAAGTCGTAAAAGGGCCCATGGTTCCCCACCTCTGCCCTAAATGACTTCTCTATTGAAAGATTTGCCACTAAATATCAGTTGTTGGGAAGCATCAGCAGAAGGTTTCTGTCTTTCCTTGCCTGCAGGCTTTCCAAGAACGAGATACAGTAGTTGGTCACTGTGGGGAACATCCTATTGCACTAAATAAACATTTGTCTTAAAGGAGTTGGGCTCCTATTTGTTTTTAAGATGGATATCCTTCCCCTGATTAATATACCCTTCCCCTGACATAGTAGCATATCAGGACATTGCCTGGAGGATATTTCTGCTTTATGTTGATCCAAGCACTGCAATGAAGAGAGTGCTTTATAACTTCTTTCTTTATAAAATCCTTCCTTTTTCTTGCAAGCGCAACCCCAGACTGGATTTAAAGATATACCATTTAAAGATATGCAGACTTGGCGTTAGGGATCATCAGAAAGGGATGCCGTACCTCGTTCAACTTTAATCCTCAAGTTGCAAAACTGGTTAGCTCTGAAGGGATAATTGTTCTTCTGATATATTTCGTTGTTTATCCTGCAAATAGCGTAATTTGTCTGGAAATGGTTCTGTGTACATATGAATAAATTTAACTACCTAAAGGACCCTGCTGCAGAACTACCAGTGAAAAGTTGCCTATAAGGATGAATTATACCTTGATTTAAAACGTAGCACACTTGCACATTTCTCTTTCTCCCTTCCCCCCCCAGTACAAATTTTACTTAAGATTTTACCTTTTTGTTGTTGTTATTGTTGTTATTGAAAACACAGGAAATTCATGCGGTGCTTTTGAAACTTCCTAGAATGATGATAAATGAGATGCATATGTTTTTCCCATAGTAACCCAAAACAAATAAAGCAGATTTTTTTTGATGCTTTTAAATTAAGCCAAGTTTTCTTTCTTTCTTTCTTTTTTTAAAGAAATATCTATGCCATGCAGCAATTATTAGCTGGGTGAAGCTTTAGATGAGTTTTTCCTCAACCTTGGGAATTTTAAGATGGCTGGCTTGGGAATTCTGGGGGCTGAAGTCCACATATCTTAAAGATGGTCTGGTTGAGAAACACTAGTACAGATCTTGAGATTGAAAATGCTCCTGGTTGGGACACAAGGCAGATCCAGCAATAGGATTTAAACCTGTTTTGAGTGGGATTATATTACCCTTCCAAGATCAGGTCCGCAGTCTAAGAATACTTCTAGATAAAGCAGAAATTAAATGGTGGTTACAGCCAGGAGAGGCCTGTCCAGATTAAATTGGTGCCCTGACTGTGTTGATCAAATCACGCTTGGCCCAGTTTATAGCTGGGTTAGTAGCAAACATCTGGGAGTTGGATTAAAGCAACACACTTCTAGAGCTAAGTGATCTCATGTATAGGGTTGAAATGCTTATAGTAGCTTTTGTTTACCTCAGACATTCTGTACACAAATTACTCAATCATCAATGAGATTGCTATGTTTATGAAGTAGATACCAGATTGTTAACTTCAGTCAACTTCCTTCCTTCCTCCCTCCCTCCCTCCCTCTTTCTCTTTCTCTCTCTCTCTCTCTTTCTCTATATCTTCCTTACTTAAGTCTCTGTCTTGAGGAGAAATCCCAGTTCTGTACTTTAGTTGTTTTGCATCTGAGTATGAAAGTTACTGCATAGGAAAATCAAACATTTTTAGTAATGGTGAAATGTTTTTATAACATGGTTTATATCTACACTAATGCCATGTCTGTATTCAGAAATGTCCCAGCTTTGTACTGATAGTTTAAGACAATGAAAAGCACTACTGTCTGTTGATAGTATTTCACTATCTTACATACATTCTGTCCTTGACTTTCTCCTTGTTCTCTAACCTCTTCCTGTTTCCCACAAGTCCAAAAGTAAACTATTAGCTAGCTGAAAAGGGGGAATAATTTAAATAAATAAATTAAAATAAATCTGTTTCTACATTTCTACATTGCGGGTAGAAGAAGGGGTTACTCTGCTAACATCCCACTCATTTCCTTCTGCATAGTAGGGGGTAAAACCTCCCTTCTTGGCTCTATAGCCTTGTTGCATGAAACTCCCCGCATCGTTAGTTATTCTAATGATCACTATGGAAGGTTTTTTATGAATCTGAAAGACTCTTGAATATGATTGAATTCTATTGAGGAGGGGGTCATCTGAAGTGATGATGATGATAGCTATAGCAATAAGACTTATATACTGCTTCATGGTGCTTTACAGCCCTCTCTGAGCGGTTTACAAAGTCAGCCTATTGCCCTCAACAATCTGGGTCCTCATTTTGCCCACCTCAGAAGGATGGAAGGATGATGTTATCCATTCAGTCATATCCATCTTTTGGCAATTCTGTGGGCCAGTCTCTCCACATGTTCTGATTTTATACTACTTTTATGAGTTTTTCTATACTGTGGCTAATGTCAAATTTGATGGTGTTCAGCCATTGTGTTCTTTGGGTAACTAGGGTAATGAATGGCTAGCCTAGTACTGATGATGTTACCTAGTTGGGTAATGAAATGTCTGCAAGAAAACAGCTAAGCTCAGAAAGCAACAAAGGGACCCAACAAATCTATTGCAACTCTGTCTTTTGATGATTTCCAAAGAGTATGTTTCAGCTTGTGCATTTTGCCCAATCTTAAATTTATCTATTTGTTTGATTGTTTGCTTTTTAATTTGTTTATTTTATTTGTTTGTTTGTTTATTGCTTTCAGGGCTCAGAAGTGGTTTGCCATTGCCAGCTTTTAACCCCATTGCTACCATTATAATATCCTAAACAGCCCTTCACTCCTGGGCATCTAAGATCAGAGACCGCTTTTTTTTTTTTAAGTTTTATTATTCATTTAGTATTCAGACTGCTGAATACTAAAAAGGTACCTAGTATAGTTGGCATAAAATAATAAAATACAATTACAGTGGGATCGTTTCTGGGTCCTTATCAAGAAAATCCTGATAATTTCCCCAGAACTGTACAGTTTGATAGAATTCAAATGTATTTGTTTGTATTAGTTGCATTTAAAGCTGTCTAAAAGGTCACCTACAATTGATTACATTTTTAAAAATAGCAAAACCAGTCAGTCTGTCGAACCTTTTGAGATGGATGATTTATTATTTAAATTTCCAAGCAAATTAATTTTGCTGAGAATCAAATATGGAAATAAATAAATGTGTTACATTCCATCAAAATTATTTGCTCTGCTAAAAAGCTTAATTAATGTGTTCTTGAGCGATAACCTAGGGAAAAAATAATGAAGTGTTCTGATATCTGTTGTATGTTTGTTAATACCTGTCCTGACTAGAAATACCTTTGTTTCTTTCTTTTAGGCCCAGGATTTGAATGTGATTGAAGAAGTCATTCGAATGATGTTAGAAATAATCAACTCCTGCTTAACAAATTCCCTCCATCATAACCCCAATTTAGTGTATGCCCTGCTATACAAGCGGGATCTCTTTGAGCAATTTCGAAGTCACCCCTCTTTCCAGGATATAATGCAGAACATAGATCTGGTATGTACTTAATATCATCTGTGAAAATGCTATTTACAATTGAAAATAGCTACTTGTATTAACTCCTTTTACTAGGCCTTATTTTGGCAGGCCTCTTCCGTGTTAGATGCCTTTAAGACTTCCCACTAAAATAATCCCTAGGTCTGTGATGGTGAACCTATGGCACACATGCCACAGGTGGCACTCAGAGCCATTTGTGCAGGCACATGAGCCCCAGCTAAACTAGCCTGCACTGCACATGCCTCCCAGCTGATTTTTGGCCTGTTTAAGGCCTTTTTTGGCCTCCCAGAGGCTCGAGGGAAGCCTCTGCAGTCTTTGTAGGCCGAAAAACAGGCCCATTTTGTCACTTCCGGTATTTCCGGAAATACAGGAAGTGACAAAACGGGCCCATTTTTTGGCCTACAAAGGCTACAGAGGCTTCCCTCGAACCTCTGGGAGGCCGAAAAAGGCCTTAAACAGGCCAAAAAATCAGCTGGGAGGCACGCGCATGAGCAGTGGAGGTAAGGGGGTGGCAGGGGTATCGCGCGCACATGGGCGAAGGACACGTGTGCAATTTTCAGCACAGGAGCCCAAAAAGGTTAGCAACCACTGCCCTAGGTGTTGCATTTTTTTTCTCAAATTATCTGTTTATCTACTACACGGGTGTCAGACTCGCAGCGTCATGTTGCTGTCACGTGATGTTTCACAACGTTTTTCCCATCTGTGGAGCTAGGGTGGCCTGTGCGTGATGCATCCAGCCTGTAGGCTGCCAGTTTAACACCCCTGATCTAGTAGATTTATTAATGTTTTTAATATTGTGTTTTTCATCTTGAAAGAAGTTACCATTAAAATTTTTTACCAAAGTGGCATGTGAAAGCTGCTCACCATAGGAGAATTTAAATATTTTTTTTATAATGTGAGAAGCCTACTTTGGCAAAAATGCCTCCACATATTTCCTTATAGAGAAATGAGAAAAGACCAGATGTACTTGACAAGGCTTCAGATTGTGTCGATTTTCTAGTAGGAGAGGATATTTCTGTATTAGTTGCCGCTTTTGATATGAGAATACTCTGCTTTATCCGCTGAAGGGCACCAAAAGAAACATATAAAAAAATAAGCTAGACGCATTTTTTTATAAAGTGAGTAAAAAATGCTCTTCCTCCAGCCAAACTTTTTTGGAATATAGTATTATTTTATTACAAACACAGTTGTGAACATCAGTTTATTGGGGGGGAAAAATCCATGCTTATTTATTCAGTATGCTCAGAGGAATTGTAACAGACAAAAATAAATTTTAACGCTCTCAAAAAGCTAATCAGCAAGTATAACAATGATTGGAAAATGCTGGATCTACGCTACGTGTTGGAAATCAGAATTTAGTAACGAATTCTTGGCAACGACGTTTCAATAATGCAGTTTGTCAGTTGTCATTATTTGATCAACTGAATTTATAGATTTTTTTTTTTCTGAAAAGCTGTTCAACAATGTTTTCACATGCATTTGCTTAAAATGTTTTCTCCAAACTTTTCATCAAATGATCAGCATGGGTGGTTTACATCAAAATAAAATGTTGTTATATTAAAGCCAATGTAGGAACAGTATTAGAGTCCTGAATAAGAAGAAAAGAAAAAAGAAGAAAAAGAAATAATATTAGTTACTTTGGCCAGGCCTTCCAAAGTCCTATAAAAATACCTTTAAATGTTTTTTTTTTTAAATTATTTTCCAAAACTCATTATTAGGGAAATCCAGTGTGTGTAATAAGCATATATCACAACTATGCTAAAAGAAGAAAATTGACTCATTTGAGCTGTGGTATTGGAGAAGACTCCTGCGTATTTTTCTTAGATAGCAAAGGTAATTAACAAGCAAGTACTGGAATGCATGACACCAAATAGGTCACTAGAAGGAAAAATCAGAAAACTGCATCTCACGTATTTTGGCCATGTCATGCAGGGGAATTCACTGGAGAAAGCAGTTATGATCTGAAGAGTTAGCAGTAAAAGGAAAATGGTGACTGGACACCATCAAAGCTGATACCAGCCAGAGCATAGAACAATTCAAAGAAGTAGTGTAGGATCAGAAGACATGGAGAGACCAGGCCCACAGGAGTCACCGAGTGTTGAATGCGACTGAATGGACACCATCATCATCTCACAACTGGGAAGAACTTCTCCTTAGTACCCACCAACTATGTCTTGAATGATAGGAAAGATGAAATGAAATTAGGGTTTAGGATTGTCAAGGTACGTTGGATGGGACTATTTAAAACTTTAAACATCAACATCAGCACTTTACATTGGACCTGGAAGCGAATAGTGTACAGAGCAGATTAATCTTTCTGGCCAAGGTAAATTGCCCAACCATAAATCTAATTTGTCCTAGTCTGGAACATTCAAATAATTATTGCAAAAGTCAGGCATGGATCAGTGGTGAGATTCAAATTTTGTTACTACCGATTCTGTGGCCGTAGCGTGGCTTGGTGGACCTGGCAGGGGAAGGATATACTGTAAAATCTCCATTCCCTCCCCATCTCACCAACCTCTTTCCAGCTCCATTCTCCTATGCAGGGCAACCAAAGAAGACCCAGCCGATCAGCGGGACTCAAGAAGCAAAGAAGAGATGAGGGCAGGGCCAGTCAGAGGTGGCATTTGCCAGTTCTCCGAATTATTCAAAGTTTCCGCTACCGGTTCTCCAGAATTGGCCAGAACCTGCTGAATACCACTTCTGGCATGGATAAAGGCCAGATGTGCCTCCCTTCCTGATAAAGGGTTTAATGAATTCCCTTCTGTTACCCTCTATCCCTGGATATCAGCTCTTGTTCTGTAGGAAAAAAAACCAATGGAAGACCTAATCCCAGTGTTCTATATTGTGATGATCTGGACAAGACAAGTGGGCAGCCATTTTTCCCTGTCTCACCCAATACAGGTATCCCAAAGGTGCTTTTTCAAGAGGCAACTCCTGAAAAAAGAACTTTTGGAACAACCATGACCTGGATGACTGAGAATCTCCATAGATGTTTAGCTATGCACTTTGGGATGACCACCACAGGATGGTTGTGCACCACCTACCTTGAGGATTACGCCCATGGTGACAAAGGCCCTAGAAGTTACGTTCTTTGCATCTGAGAGGTTAGCCTTCCCTAAAAAGTGGAGGTGCAGGCAAAGCAGATTGGATCTTGCTAGTGGTAATGAAGGAATGTCAACTGGATCAGCTCCGCTCATCTTCTCCTTGAGAGGGAAGGATGGAGAACAGAAGAAAGCAATGCAAAGGGGAAGCCTTCTCAAGGAAGAGAGGGATATGGATTAGGAGGACATCCTTTTCCTTGGACTTCTACTGACTGACTAAGCTGGCCCAATAGTCTTCATGTTCCCCATCACAGATTTATTCTACAGGTAGTCCTCAACTTACAACCATTTGTTTAGTCATCATTCCAAGTTACAACAGCATTGGGGAAAAAAAGTGATTTATGACCATTTTTCACACTTAACCATCGCGGCATCTCCAAGGTCACGTGATCAATGCAGGCGTTACCAGCAGACACTTTTTTTTGAAGTGACCTCTGATAATGAACGTCTTCCATGGTGCTGTCAGACGGTGCTCCATTCAAAATCCAAGAAAGACTCCATCGTTATAGAGAAAAGGGCTTTTTACTGGAATTCAAGTGGTAGCATCAAAGTAATTCTAGATCTGAGGATTTACGCGCGAAAAACACATACACAAAGTGATGGCAACGTTCCCACCCACCATAGTTCAAACGGTCCATCCAATCGAAGATGTGTATCACGTCATGTGGGGCATCTTCAGGTAGTGATGCAGACATCTGGCCGTTGACCTTGGCCTAGTTTGATAAAGAGCTGCAGTTGCGCAGTAAGCAAGCAAGGAAGCATAAACAATAAAGTTTTTCCCCCAAGTTATACAGTTCATTCTCTAAAACCTCCAGCACATTTCCCATTCCCACAAAGCCCAATTATTTCACCCTCCCCCCGTTACTATGGCAGCCGAAAGATGCAAAAGAAAGGAAAGGAAAGGAGTCTTGAAGGCTGACAGGTGCCTTGGTGTTGTGCCTCGCCATTTTTTTTCCTTCCTTCCTTTCTTTTCTTTTCTTTTTTTAAATAAGGCTCATGACCATGTGGGACATCTTGGAATCCTTTCTCTTCGCATGACGAAAGCTGTTGGAAAACCCCAGGGAGCCATCCTGCCAGCTTCCAGAACACAACGGAGATTATTTTGCCAAACTAGGACGTACCATCATCCTTGAGCTCTTTGGTAGAAGGAACCAAGTTAGAGGCTTCACAGCAGAAGCAGGATAGGAAATAAGAGTTCTTCCAAGTCTTTGGAAGTCCAAGTCAATAAAATGAAAAGATAGTTGATCCATCTTGCCCAATCTGATGGCCTCCTCAAGAGTGTACAGCCAATAGCTAAACTAGAGGGTGTCTCTAAGTCTAAAGCTACTCCTTGGTACACGTAGACCTCAATTTACATCCTTTTAGTGGCCGTCTGAAGTTACAACAGCACTGAAAAAAAGTGACTTACGACTGTTTTTCACACTTACGACGGTTGCATCATCCCCATGGTCACATGATGATAGCTTGGATGCTTGGCAACTGGCATGTATTTATAACTGTTATGCTGTACCGAGATCCTGTGATCCCTTTTTGCAGCCTTCTGGCAAGCAGCGGGGAGGCCAGATTCACTTTAATAACCATGTTACTAACTTAACAGTGACAGTGATTCAACTTAATGACGTTGGCAAAAAAAGGTCACAAAATGGGGCGAAACTCTCTTCACAGCTGTCTCGCCTGGCAGCCGAAAATTTTGGGCTCGATTATGGCTGTAAGTCGAGGGCTGCTTATAAAACAAAGGAATCCCTTGCCGGAGAGATTTTAATCCCCCCTGTTGCTGCAGAAGAGAGCAAGGAAGACTGCTCGCTTTCCTGTCTCCGTGTCTTCAAATGATGCCCAGGAAAAAGACCAACCATTGAAAGATACACCGGGCATCTTATATTCCTAAAGCTGTGTTTA